CCCCCCCCCCCCCCCCCCCCCTCCTCCCCCTGTGCGATCAAGAATATCAGGTTGGCAAAGTGGCAGACTGGCAGTTATTTGATTAAATTGAAAGCACTGTGCCACTAATAATACACCCTTCTGGAAAGTACTTGGCAAGGGAAAATTGTCAATTGTTTGTGCTACACACGAGCAAATGTCAATCAAACTTGTCAAGGAAAACTCGTTTGTACAGGGCTTTTATAATAAGGCTTTTAATACAGTATGTTTTACAGTAAATAGGCCTTGGAAGTGCTAATTCAATGTTGCGCAAAACCAAATATATAGCCTGAAGTAACTGCGGTATGTCAAGAGGAAGCTAGAGAAACATTGTGAAAATATTAAAAAGAAATCTACCTTTTCCTGCCCCTGTTACAAGTGCTCGTTTTCCAGCAAAATTAATCTCCATTTTGATTTTCTCACGTGTTGTTGTACTATGCAGTACGTCATGTTACATGGAGTATAGTTGCACAAACCAAATACTACATGACGTCATAAATCAAGGTGCCGTTGTATATATAAATTAATTAAATCAACTTTTGCATTGAACTTTTTTATAGAAATGCTAGCTATAATCTTGGACATAAGTGGTTGGGGCTACCTTTCTCTCAAAACAAAATTCGCATACCTCTTATGATAAATTCCATGTCGAATCGTGTGGCGCTTCTTAGCCCCAACTCAATAGAGAGGTTTAGCAAAGAGACGACGTGACGTGAGTGGTGGTAAAAATGGCGTGATATGCCCATCTATGGATGTGCCCACGCCAGTTTTACGCCATTTTCACGTCCTCTTTGACGTCGCGTCGTCTTTGATAATCCTCTCTAATGTTGAGCTTGTGTCATGGTATATTACCAAAAGTTGTTTCGGCGTTGTTTACAACATTGAACCGGGGGAGAGGGGGTGACGAAGTTTGTTTTGTCAATGTGCATTACTTTGCAATATTGGCTGGACTGGTCTCAAGAGTTATGCAAACTTATAAATTCGTTTATAGTCGCACTGTTACATTCCATCTGCTGCATTGTGTAGGCACTTTCAGAAAAATGTTGCAAAGGTCTAATAAACAGTGTGAAATATTGATTTCAGAGTGATTTGAACGAATCTAAAACTACCCTCCAAAAAACATTGGGGGGGGGGGGACAAACCTGCCCCTCGCCCCCTAGACATCAAGGGAGAACAATTTAAAACTGAGCGATCTAGTAGTACATCAAGTTAGTTTAGACTTGCTACAAGTGCATCGCAAAATATTTCCCTAGCTTTATTGGGTGAGTAAAGTTGAAGTGTGTGTAGGCTCGATTATCAGCAGGTATTCGGGAAAACTACGGCTGATAATTGAGCCTAAGGTGTGTGCGAAGTGAAAATGGCGTCATTTGAAAAAGGTAGTTTAGTTTAGTTATTTATTTACAATTTACAAATCATATCCTTCATTTACAGTGGAATGTCAATTTTGCAGAAGCCAAGTTCATTTCTGCAAGACATCTAAATACAGTATAAACATCGATGCAATTCAGTGCCCCTTTTCATCATTGTTGTTGTGTTGGTTGTTATTGATGACACGGTTGTGGGTTACCATGGACACGAAATCTGTATATACACGTGTACTCTGGGTTGCCATGGTTATTCAATATACGAAGTTCAATGTATTGGACAGCGGTTATATCTTTGACAGGCTGTAAAAGGAGAAAAATAATGTGTTTTGGAAAACAGCACGTTATTTATGATGGAAATCTGTGAGAAAAGATAATCCACACTTGTTATGGTACTTACTTGTGCTTTAAATGTTTGTAAAGAATCTCCATCGCTATCAAAAATATAATTTCCTAACTGTAGTTTTTCGTTACCATTTGGATCTTTCCAGGCCTAAAAAAAGGCGGAATCATCTGACGTTAGGGTAAAATAACAAATATTAAAGTTAACTAATATTACAACTAAAATTTGGCATTCTTAGATTTGCTCATTATATTTTAACTGAAAATCAGCTTTTAATCATCTAGAAATTTACCTAAAATTACGTTATACTAATACGAACAATTTTTTTTTTTTTGGGGGGGGGGGTTAACACCCCCTTCCCCTTGGTCGCTATGGTCCTGGGCATATGGTAACTTAGTATGTTAGCAAGAGATATGACTGGTCATCTAGTCTCGTTAAACTCACCCAAACAGCAAATTCTTTTGGTGCACTTGGTATCCGTCCATCCCCAGTTGGCGACAGTAATTTCGGGATGTGTTCCAAACTAAACGCTGTTGGGGTAAGCATCTTGGATAGCTAAAAGATTGAGGTGATTTGAGGGCGCTATAATTCAAAAACTTCCTAACTGGGTACTCCAATGATTATTTCCTACTTGCAAAATTTGCGAGTGCTGGTGAGTACCCGTGCTCTACCGTATATATAAGAATTTCGACGTTTCGAGCGAAGGCCCTTCGTTTGGAGTTAGGAGTACGAAGGGCCTTCGCTCGAAACGTCGAAATTCTTTTTATATATTTTCAGGTAGTTGCATCCCTACCAATCAAAGCTTATTCATTTTATTGGCACTACCAACACTGACACGTCTGTTCGAGTTCAATGTCACACTATTTGTACTTAACTTACTTACAAACCTCACCTTTATCACGACGTAACCATGTTGTCCTTTGAAAGCCCAGCAGTTGCCTGGACTGTTGTCGGGCTGACAGAAATAGAAAACAAATCAAGTTTTATACAAACAGCTTAGCTTACATATTGCTACGGTTCTTTTTTGGTGCGCAATTGTCAAACCAAGCGCCTTTCACCTCTGAGATCCTGGGTTCGATTCTCGCTGCTGACTAATGAAAGAGTCAGTCAACGCTCTACACAGTTTGCTCCCGTGGGTAAGGGATAAGCCCCAAAGTGACCTTTCAACCATAGCTGTGCTTCGTGGTAAGTGGCTGTTCATAAGGTGCCTGCCAGAGGTACTCTTAGAAAGCCTTCGACTCGATCAGGTTGAGCTGTGTCTTTCGTAATCCAGGTTAGCTTTCAGGCAAGGGTGAGTATAAGAATGATTATCACACTCCACACACTCACCGGGCATATTGTATTTCGACTTACTTGAAGGATAACTCTCGGAGGTTTGACATCTAACCACAGTGGTAGACCAAAAACAATCACTCTGGCAGCACCAACATCATACGTTTCACTGTGGTGCGAATCATGAATCTGAGCACCTGGACGGCAAAAAGGTAAAATACTTATATACGACTGGGCACACATTGGGCCAGTGTAGGTAGCTAGCCTACGATAACAAGAAAGCTGCGGACCATTAAAGGCCTGTTTAAACAGATCCAACATTGTTGGACCAACATCATCCAACAATGTTACTATAATCATGGATAATAAAATAAATGGATAGGAAACTAGCTGACGTGACCTAATGTTTTTACTGGGATTGATGGCGTGGCTGGGTGCCTCAACCTAGTTGAAAACCAAATTCTCAAAAACGGCACGTTTAGCAATAATACAGCTAAACATTTTAGTCAAAGAGCAAATAAATGTAACCACGCCATTCTACGATGAAAACTCTAAGTATTCCCAGTCAATTTTAGCAAATATTTCAAGCACTAAACAGTGAAAAATACATCGCAAATTTCGCAAAAATTTGTGACGCCAATTTCGTAGCTACAAATGTAAAAAAATACAAAACAAAGACGAAAAACATTTACCTTGAATACTTTGTCGTGGCTTAGGCATGTTTTTAAAACAATTAGACCAGTTTACGCTTCAAGATCACCCTTTTAAAGTGGAAAATATAGCAAAACAACAAAAATGCCGAGAACTTTGCTAACATTAATTCGCAATACGCGTGACGTCACGTTTTTCAACAAGGATGCAGTCAATGACGTCAGAAGTTTCCAATCCATTTATTTTATTATCCATGCTATAATAGATATGACTGCTTCTCTTTCAAATATTTTTGGTTAGATAAGCTTTACTCAAACTCTAAACCTAGTCTTGACAAAAATATTTGAAAAAGAATCCGTTTGGGCCATTATTTCAACAATGTTGGATGATGTTGGCCCAACAATGTTGGATCCGTTTAAACAGGGCTTTCTTTGAAAAATACAAGGACAATTACTTGAAAAATGCAATATCGTCACTCCGACATTTCGAGCGAAGACCTTTCATCCGGAACTTCTTCATGGGCCCTTCTCGATGAAGGGCCTTCGGTCGGAACGTCAAAGAACGGCTTCAATTTTTCAGGTGGTTGTCAAGTATTCTTGACAGTATTCTTGACATTAATAAATTAAGTAGAGCCGGTAGTATATAAGGGCCTGTTCAATAAACATACCTGAAGATTCCAAAGCAAAATCTGCCATGCCAACTTTATCTGCATTATACCTCTGTAGTGCGGCCTGAACAATATCTTGAACAGCCTACAAATCAAAATATTTTTTTCAACCGTCTCTCCACGGTCTTCATGATCTCGTTTAATAGTAAGGTTCACATTTGAATTTTACTACCGCTACCATTAAGGGACCATCAACGAATCAGATGCGTTTGATGACCAATCATGCAGATGCGTACTAAGCCAGTTAGGTGGGTGGTAACGGTAGTGGAAGTCAAATCCGAACCTCGATAATATTAAAGCGTAACCTGTTATGAACATTTGCCTGCTGCAACACGGGCGGATCTAGCCTTATAGTTCCTTATCACGGAAGTGGCTGAGATTTTTCGAAGATGAAAAGTGGGTGGGTGTTTGCACTATGATCAGTTGAACATTGCCTTACCCACAACAAATGCATGTGTGCATTTGCATTTCAAAAATTTTCGGAGGGACATGCTCTCGAATCGCCTAGAATTTGTCTAGCCTCTCCCCCTCAACCAAACGAACCTTATACAGCCTATGTGGCTCACACACCCTACCCAATAACCTAGGCCTCATCAAGTCGGACAAGAGAATAGTTGACGTGCTTGGTAGATAATTTGCAAACCTTTTCTGAAAGTAGTGACTTGTTCTCTGATGATAGATCTAAAAATAATTAAAACAAAAATCATTCATAATTAAGCATCCAACTAAGTGGTAAAACATTTTCGATAACACGGGCATAGAAAACAGCGGCCAGCCTCTCCCACAATATTTTATAAAGGGCGCCGGACTTTGGGGCCCCTCCTGGGGCCCCTCCTCCTCGCAAAAAATAATCGAATTTCTAAAAAAAGCGCAAATCGGCCAGTTAATAATAGTATTCCACTGACTCACGGATATAATAGACTGACAAATCGTATAATAAAATAATTAATGAAAGAGCCTAACAAAAGAGGTAGATCTAGAGACTCAAAATCAGTTTCACAAAACCATGCTGATGCCTCCAATCCTCCTATGTCCTGTTCGATAAGGAAGATATTTCTACATTGAAATGAAGAAGGACAAGAAACCTAGTAAGGAAATTATTTGATTAACATTTTCAGGATAATCAGACGAAAGCGCCTTATTGAAAGGAGTCCTACATTTTACCTGAGTGGTTAGCGAGAATTTGTAAAACTGTTGATAATCTGTCAACTTTTTCTTCGATTTTTCTGAGAGTTTCAGAACTATGATCCATCTCCTAGATAATATAACAAGAAATTGTAACTTGGTTATAAAATTGCGTTTCAGTATATACTGGCAGAAAATTCGAAGCAGAGCGTATAGGCCATGTTTAAAGTTTCAATGTCAATCATATTCAAATAACAATACAACATACTTACAGTATTCTTTAATGTGTCATTCGAGGCATAGACTGAAAAAGAAGCCAAAAGTATAGTTTAAAAGGAATAATGTGACAATCGAAAGAATACAAAATCAGGGGAGGAACTACCGCAACGCACCCCCTCTGGAAAACATCCACTCCATCTAACAAATCAGGCCAGATCCACCCCTGATTGATACAAATATATAACAATGAAAAGCAGTGGCAAAGCTAACCATGGCAACTGGTCATAATATGCTAATAAACCCTCCCCCCCTTGTCCGGCATTGTCCGAATTAGTGACCCCCCCTTCCCCCCGGACATCTGCCGTGCCTCGCAAAAACTCACGCAATCTTGTATATATCAAGAGTAAAAAACTTTTACTTTTAGAACTTTTTTATAACTGTAAATGTGAACACAAAAACATATAAATTACTAATTAAAACAAAATCTAGTGTTAACCGCATAGTCAAAATGCCAATTTCACAATGGGAAGGACTGCTCAAAATAGAGGGAAAAAGAAATTTGTTTTTGAATTTTTTTAAATTTCGGCATCCGGATTGCTAAAACCCCCCCCTCCCCCCTATGTCCGAGTTTGTCCTGATTTTCCAAACCCCCCCCCCCCTCGGCTCGGACATCCTTTGTGAATGGCCCCTAATAGGCTAAGGACGATACATTTCTAAAGGTTTGAATAATGCCAATCATTGAAAATTTGTATAGCATGACCTGTTGCTATGGCTAGCTTCGCCACTTACGAAATATTTTTTTAAAATTTCATACTTTGCACTAGAATTGCTGTTAAAACTCCAGTAAGCAACAATATAAGAAATCCACCACAGGCAGTTCTAATACAGCAATAATCCTGTATGCAACTTCTGATTTTTCTGATAAACTACATTAAAACAAACAAAAGAGCGCAATGTTACTGCAACATGGCTGTGGGGAAATTTTCCAGGGGGCCCTATGATGCCATAACTGTAAAACAAGAGAAGCGAGTGCTTTACAATATGTTGCACTTGTTTGCATGCCATCTGGCACTACAAGGCAACTAGGATTTATATCCCTTTTATTAATAAATTCCTTTTATTTGCACGCTTCAAGGTATTTGTTAATACCATGGACTGGTGGGGAATTTGCCCCACTGGGCCCCTTCCTCTGCCCTACCACAGAAAAAAATATAGCCTATTGCCCCAAAGCCAGAACACTAGGACCTGTATTGAGTAACTGAGTTTAACATTGAAAAGAAGTTTAAAAACAATTTTGTTGGCGAGCATACTTAAACTTATGTTGTGTTTGAATGTTTAGCATGCAATTTATTACAAATTTCGCCATTAAAACTTTGTTTTGAGAAGCTGAGACTTTTTAAAAATGTAGACTCAGAATGCAGGAAATTCTATTTCAGAGACCCAAATTTTAAAAATTTCCTGGGGGGGATGCCCCCAAATCCCCTAGTTAACTCGTGCCTGCGGTACTCGGCTTACACCTCCGGAGATCGCATGCTATCCTGGGGAGAGGGCAAAGAAAGTGCGTCTTTTGGCAGTTTTGCCCCACCACTGAAGAATCCTTAAAAAATGCACTGGCACGCTTACATAATTTTGGTTGCTTTTTTCATTGAACGAATCTCCTACGTCAACGTCGGTGTCTTCGTCTGAAAGAAACCAATTCTTAATCAGTACCTTGCTCAATAGAATTTTGAAAGGTTTTTGTACACTGGAAAATTCTGAGCGAAAATTATAGACATTTTTGGACTTTAGCTGGAGCAGGCGGCGAAAACTGCAACCATAATCCCTCCAGCATGGAGTCCTCTAACCAGCTGCTCCCGGACAGAACTAAAATGTATATAATTTTTGTTCAGCTCGAAATTTTTGTCTACGCAAAACCAAGGCCGGATTTAGGTGGAAATAGTGGGGGAGGTGGAAAAAAAATTATAAGCGGTCTAGCTCACGACCCCCATGGAAAGTTAGGGCTTAGAACGGACCAAAGTCAATGACGTATGCATGTAGTGTACATATATGTATCAGTGTATTATGACTGTACAACTCATCCAATTGTGCCCTTCATTACAATTACTGCAAAGTTTCTTTCGAAACAGTAGTGATACAGAGATGAATGCATGGCTACCACTGTTTTAATTTTACAGAAAAACGTTACGAAGTGTAGACCCTCATAAGCAAACAAAAGATATCAAATTTTCACTTCGATCTATCATTGAAACTGTTCCAAGGGGAGGTGCAGGACTTTTCTGGGGAGGTGCAAAAAATTTCAGGGGTGGTGCCAAACGACCTCAGGGGAGGTGCGCACCTCCCCACACCTGCCTTCAAAATCCGGCCATGGCAAAAACCCTTTAGCAAGTCTTTAATCAGCTCATATATACTGCATTATCTTATCTATAATAAATTTAATCATTAAGTATATTTGAAAAACAAAAAGACGTTACCCGAAGATATTAATTTTCCATCAAGACCTAATAAAGAATCACAGAATTAATTAAAATTTCAATAACCCAGTCGTGATGTCACAGCGCTATTGAACATAATGAGCGCAATGATCCGTTTGTCAAACCATGGATAATAAAACAATCCATGGTTAAACTGTGATGATTCGGTAAAAAATTGTAAAACAACTCAACTATTGGAAGGCTAAATTAACGTTCGTTTGGAAATTGTGAGTTGTCATGACTTATCCGCCGAGTATAGTTCTGGTAAATGAGGACGAGAATTGATGAGAATTGAGAAGCGAGAGTTGGCATGCATGAGCCGAGAGTTTTCTAAACTCTTATGATGGCCTGGTCAAACAAGAACAAGAGTTGCATGACTTTGAGAGTTAAGGAGAGTTGAGAAGCGAGAGTTTGCATACAAACAAAATACAAACAGCCATACCGTACAAATTGTCCGGGGTGTCTTTCAACTTTTCATATCTGCCATAAGATCTTGCCATGCCTTTAGAAGTACCCGTTTGGTTTGATTGTTGAACTGTAGAGTCATTTACATTTGTCGAATTCTGTCTGTTTGCGAGTTCTTGATCGTCTGACTTTGCAGACAGCCTTGTTGATTGTATGGGAAAAAATGTATGATTATTCAATGAAAAACAAATGATTTTCCTGTGGGATTTGCCATAACAAAGGGCAAGCGATTTATTTCTTAAAAGCGTTTTGTTCCGTAACATAAAATCGAGTGAAGTGAAATAAGCATTGTAAATTTTATATAAAAAACAAAACAAAACAAAGTTAAGGCAGATGAATAGTAAATATATTCAAAACTAAAGTATTTCTGTTTTGTTTTCGCAAACCTCGAAGGAAAAGTTTATAGTTTAGTCTGGCTTTTCTCCACTAGTATTATTTTATACGCAGAAAAGTTAAGAATTACTGATAATTCTGGCTAGAGCATGCAAGTTTAATATATGCATATAAACATCAATTTACCAAACGTGAAAAAACAAAACATTTTCCTCTGGGACTTGCAAAAACAACGGGAAAATTCTTTAACTTTCTCGTTTGATATGCAATTTAAATGTTGACATAGACGTTTATTTCAATAGCATAATTCATTGGATTACATTAATTTAGTAATATTTTGTTTTCTTCAGGTTAAAACACGGCATATTTAATCGAGTTTCATAAAATAAGCGTACATAAATATGCAGTATATTATTTTGCATATTAAAAAACAGCTAACCTTCTTGATCGACGATGATCTGAGTTTTCATTGTTTTCCAACTCTTTTCCCGGCTTTTCTGGTGTTTTCCCCGCCGAACCAGAGTTTCCTTTGGCAGAAGATTTTTTCCGGGCCATAAGTTGCAGTTTTTAGTCAACTCACATTTTATTGTGCCCGCAATGCGCTAAATTTCACACAAAAAACAAGAGGTTTTTGAAAACTCAAAATTTCCGCCATTTTTGACATTTTTCAGTGAATGAACTGTGACGTCATAATGAAATGAAACCGACCAATAGTAAAGCAGTATTCATATGCATTGTTCATAAACGTAATTCATGAGCAAAACACAAACGAAAGCATTGCCTTGATATTTGATATCACAGTTTTCGTGTCGAGTTTCTGTTCAAACACTTCTTCATTTGGGAAGTTACAAGTGATACACAAAAATTGGTAGACTTGAGAGATTTAAAACACGTACCTAAAGCAGGGTACTAAAAGCCTAAAAAGCTCAGCTAGCGCTTCGTATTTTAGCACACTTCTCGGAATTTCAAATCGCTATTTATAGGAGAAGGCCCTGGCGGAGAAGAGCACGCTATAAATACAATAGTTGCTAGTTGCTAATTATATAAATGATCTTCTTTTGTCAGCGTCGTCAAACATGGCCGCCATGACGTCAGGTGCAAACCAAAAATAAATTATATATTCATTTTCGTGTACGATATATTTAATTACCACAAAATGTGTCCAAAATTATATAAATTACTACATATACTATAATATATTAGTCGTATTTACAGTTTAAAGGTATAGCAGGGTGTTATAAATCCGCCTACTCACGTACTGAAGGTGGCTGAAAACAGGATGTACACGTACTCTTGCTATCCGTGTGCTTACATTTTGCTCAGGTACTATTATTTCTGAAAACTGTATGTTGGTCGTCACATGACAATTTAGGTATCTCGAGCTAGAACTGGAGTCCACAAAGTGAAGCCAGCTAGCTTGGTGTCGTAATATATAACCGCGAAACAAAAACAATTGAAAGAGACTGGAACTGACGTCCACCAGCTCATCTTAGCAAGGAGTGTGCCAAAATTTCGTATTTTGACTTCGATGAAAAAATTATGTTATGATTTTATGAACTGAAAACTCGATTAACGATACTGTCTGTTGTAACAAAACTAGATTTAGCTGGGAAAAATGGTATAAAAACGATTTACGACCTTCAGAGCTATTAGATGTCAATAGAGAGCAAGAAATGAATGTATTTGAATCTATAGTCTATCTTGACCTATACACTCACGCTAGATCTGCTGAACCGTACTGATAGCGGGCGCATGTACGCTCAGCGTACCTATTTTTAGACCTAACTAGAAGCAGTTGCGAAAAATGCAACTATAGGCCCTCTGGCAGGAATCGAACCTGCGATTCCAGTGCAGTGCTCTAACCAACTGAGCTACAGAATCCAGTTGTTGAGCATTAACTACAGATACATGTATAATATAATGGGGTGATGCCAGTTTGAAGATAATATGGGTAAATAGATTGTTTGTCATCTATTTCCATACAACTGATAGTAGATCAGTTTTTTGCCGCAGGTTCAATTCCTGTTAGAGGGTCTATGGTCTAAAAATTTGTATAAATTTATGTTCGAAAATTTCATCTACAAAAAGCCATCTACTACTGGGTGTTTAGACTACCAGATTAACCAATCAGATGCGTACTAAGACAGTGGAAGTCAGGTCTGAACAGTGGGTCTAAACCTCACTATTGCCGTACCTCCGTGACGTAAGTACGCGAATTATCGCACCTGAGCTATATACATCATTTGCTTCTGAACGTATTTTCGGTTTAACGAAGAAATGATGCAACCGAGGCGTACCCAAGGAAGGCAGAGAAAAAGTGGAGAGGCAGTAGCCTTCCTTCAGATCTGTGGATTTCTATAGGTAAATGCGGTTATAAACTGCAATTTCGACTCGAAAAAATATCGTAAATATCCGCTCATAAAGGCGCACGCGGTTATTTGCAAGGGAATAGGGAAACGTTAAAGCAATATTAAATTAACCCATTGGGTTACAATGCGCCGTAATATGCGCCCAACTTTGTTGTTTTACTTCGTCTGAGAACGCCAGACGATTTTACTCATCAAGGGTAGAGCACTGCCACTCATATAGGCTTATTAAACCTATATTATAATATTTCCTATAGAAAATACCAAAAAAACATACACAAACTAATTTTTGTTTTATTAGTACATAACTTCTAAAATCTTATACAATAGTCAATTATACTTCCAATCAAATTGTACTTTGCGCCTGTGTTCAATTTTTTCTACATTGAAACTAAAATATTCTAATAACTATTAAACATTTAAGAATTAATATGTTGGCCTCTTTTATCACAATGATACACAAAAGTATGATTGGCCAGCTGAAGGCCTGATAATTACGGATATGCAGGGGTGGATCAGGCCTGATTTGTCAGAGGGGGTAGAGGTTTTCCAGAAGGGGTGCATCACGATCACTATGGTAAGTTTTCCCCAAAAAATATTTGAAATTTGAAGCCCTGAAATGCCATTCCTGCATTCCGAGCACTACGTTTATTCATTAAATTTGTCCTCACAGTACTTGTATTTCGGACAAAAATTAAGAAAAGTGCATAGTTATATGGTAACCTGCCATATTGGTGCTCGAATATTGCATATTCGAAAACCAATCATTTCAATATTAGAAGTACGTAGTATTCACAACTCAAATATGGAACACCACAGTTTTCTTCGGGGGGGGGGGGGG